AAAAAAAAAAAAAAAAAAAAAGATAAGGATTATTAAGAAGTTAGCTCCTACACTTTTTTTTTGAGTTTAATTCTTCAAATTATTCTTTATTATTATTACTTTTTTTTAATTGTGCTTTGGGTGCAAATTTACAGAGCAGAATTTGTTTTACATTCAACAGTTCGTGTACATTTGGTTTCACTCCCTGATTACCACTTTTACCTACATAAACACAAGAAGAATCTAGTAGGAAAGATTTTAAAAAGATACTGGTAGTAGCATCTCCAAGCAAGCTCTCTGGAGGCGGGGATCTCATCTTCTATCGCTTTGGTACCCTGTCAGTAATATGTCCGAAACAGGCAGTACATAAATGTTTCCAGGAACAAATATTTTGCAATTTGCTGTATGCTATTTTCATACTAGTGTCTAGAACCAGAAAATCCTTGGCTCAAATCCAAGCTTTGATATTTACTTGCTTTAGAGTCTGACCAAATTTCAATTTTTGTCATCTGTTAAAGTAGAATAATAATATATACTTAAGGTTGCTGGGAGAATCAAGTATTACCTTTTGTTACATGCCTGGCAGTGTCTGGCTTATAAATTGGGGCTCAATAAATGTTAGTTTTCTTCCCTTACTCTTTTCTTCCTCTTCCTTTATCATTTCATACTTTCAATTCCATCTTGCTATCCTCCAGAGTCACAGTAAATAAATATTTTATCTCAAAGGTAGTCTGAAAAATTAAAATCTTTTAAGATAGCAAAGGTATATGTATTTTCCTCAACTTCCCCCAAAACCAACTTTTTAAAATATAGGCAACCCTTTAAAGTAATTTTTGAGTCCTAATGTCATCTCACATTAGCATCATTATGATGCTAAACCATTTATAGAAATATTCTCTTTCAATAAGTTAAACTCTACGGAAATTCTTGTTTTTGTTGTTAGTTGCCATGAAATAAATTCTGACTCATTGCGACCTCATAAGCGCAGAGTAAAACTTCGGAACAGGGTTTTCAAGGTTGTGACCTTTCAGAAGCAGATTGCCAGGCCTGTCTTACAGGGCACCTCTGGGTGGACTTGAACTATCAACTTGAACTACCAACCTTTTGGCTACTAGTGACGTGCTTAACCATTTGTGCCACTCAGGGAAATACTTAGGAATTCTAAAGAATTCCTTAAACTACATGGACATATCAAAGTTGTGACTAGGTAATCTGAAGAATCATTCTATTTTTAAACAATCCTATTTGAAGTCATCATTTATCTGTTCATTTAATAAACATTTATGAAGTGCCTACAACATGTCTGGCATCTGTACTTCAAGGCGAAGAGATAAAAGACAGTCCCTGCTTTTAAGATGCTTGCAGTCTGGTAACTTATTATTTATAAACACAAGAGATGGGGATAGATCAACAGAAAAAATACGAAAGGTTCTCACTATAATTGTTTCCAATTTTAAGTAGAGAACCACTAGTAAGCAGAATGATATAATGAGTTATATATATATTGAATTTCTCAGATATACCGTATTTTTTTTTATGATCTTAATAAATAGAAGGATTATACTGTAATTTTTCTCAGAAAAACCTAAAATATGACAAACTTTCCTTTGGCATGATCTTTCAAGGTATATGATAGATAAAGAACATATGGCCACATTCTGTCAATTAAGCTATAAATTTATGCCTTCAGGATCAATAACTGTTAAGAATAACATCCTCATTTGTTACTTGCCTCTTTTGATTTTTCCTCTGCTTCTTGTTCTATGGAATAATATGAAAGAAAATAAGTGTAAAGATTGAGTAGTAACTTGTAGATAAGATACTGTGACCATGCTTTCAATCAAGTTTAACCTTAAACGTCTTTCTAAAGAAGATCCAAAACATGTATGATTTTTACCTTACTACTTGAAGCTAGTTTCCTTCAAATGTTTTTGTTGGAAGGGACAGTCATATTTAATCTTTACACTGTCATGTAGGAAACACTATATTTGAGGCAACAAATCCCAATCCAAACAGTTTTCTTTGAAGTATTTTTATTTCAGCAAAAAATTTAATACTGAATTACTGACCAATTTGAATAATATAAATAATAACATTTTGCAATTTGGGGGATACATCTATACATCTATTTCTAGATATAAAAACTTTGCTTAAACCAAGCAAAAAACTAACACTAAATGCAACTAACATGTATATTTTAACACTAACATACATATTCTACCAGATTTAAAAAAAATGTAAATCAATGAGTGAATAAAAGCAGTGTTTATCAAAGCAGAAAATGAAAACAAAGACTTCTTTGAAAAAGTTTTCTATTAGATTGTTGAGAAATTATTTTAGTGTTTTTAAATTCATATAAAAAACCAAACACACTGCTATCGAGCTATCTGCAACTCATAGTGACCCCTCCTTGAGTTTCCAAGGTAGTATCTCTACAGAATTAGATTGCCCAGTTTTTCTTCTGAGGAGTAGCTGGTGGGCTTGAACCTCTAGCCTCCTGGTTAGTAGTCAAGTGCCTTAGGCACTATGCCACCCAAGAAAATTTTTTAAATTTCGATTTTAACATGTACTTTAAACTAAATTCTTGTATTATTATCAAATCACTGTGTAGAAACAAACCTTTTTCAGAGAGAAGGTTCTTAGCCAATATATTTCCAAGGTAGTACTCGTGAATATTTACTTTCTATATGTGAAAAAAAAAAATATTGTAAGTATTTTGTAAATACATTTTTTAAGAATACAACTCTAAAACTATCAATCTCATTACTAAAGTTCTCATTTAATAATATTTCATACTTTAAACTTTGAAGAAAAACATACCTGACCAGTTTCCTTTTCTTCATGGTACTGCCGAATGTGTTTTCCATGACATACTTCGTAAGTCCAATATGATTCAATCTAATAAAGAGGGATATACTTCAATATTAGAAACTCAAAAGTTATATACTCAATTGAATTACTTTTTGTTATTTTAAGCTGCTGAGTAGACTTCCTCTAAGATTTAGCATAAGCTTTCATTAAATGTTACTTGTTATTATGGCTTAGAAAAATAAGGAAAGTCTAGTTATTGTTTTCACTAATTAGCTCTATGAGAGAATTCTGTGAATGAAAAACTCTATTTTTATGCAAATAATGTGTACATTATATGGTTATTGCAAACTGTGCAACTCTCTTGCGCTTTAGTCTCCTATGAGTGCTGCATGTGTATACATGTTATACATGAAAAATAAGGTAGGTCAAGAATACACCTGACATCTGTAATAACCACCTGACTTAGGAATCATTTTCTACATGGCTAGAAAAAAAAGAAAAACAGAAAAACAATTAGCCTTCTTATTCAAATTTTATAAGAAAACTTTGTTTTCATCTTAAAAAACATTCAATATAGTTTGGTAAATAATTTGATATTGGTATTAATGACATCTGCTGCATGTTTTGATTTTCCAAGATACTTTAGAATAAATGACACATGATACAAATGAACAAAATATTATTAACAATAGCTTAGATTTACAACTAACATAAAATTTGATATACCATAATAAAGTAAGAAGAAATACAGAATTATCTTTAATTAACTTAGAATTATCTTTTTGGTGGTGCAATGGTTAAAGAATCCAGCTGCTAACCAAAAGGCTGGTGGTTCAAAGCCATTATTTGCTCTATGGGAGAAAGATGAGGTAGTTTGCTTCCGTAAAGATTTACAGCATTGGTAACCATATGGGGTGGTTCTACTCTGTCTATGAGTTGGAACTGACTCGATGGCAATGTTTTTTTTTTTTTTAAATTTGCTGTTGGAAATTTATTTCCTAGATATCAAGTAAACATAAAATACATACTCTGTAGGAACAACTGCTTTGTTTAAATAGTGGTTCCAAAAGTTCTCTTGGATTAGGTCCTTTATAATCCTTTTCTTCTTCCTGTAGAAAGAACTGAAATTTAATACAATTTTTCTAGAACTTTATCCAACTTATTGGTCAAGTCACAAATCCTTGGAAATAAAATAGGCAAAAAATAAAAACCTTTAACGAGATCCTATGGTACGGTACTTCTTTCAAAAGAATTGAAAGCTTTCATCAAATGATACTTGTTATTATACCTTAGAAAACAAGAAAAATCTAGTCATTGTTTTCACTAATTAGTACTACATGAGAAATTTGTGAAAGAAATAACGTATTTTTAAAATATATTTTTTATGTATAAAATTTGGAGCCATAGAATAATCTTTCATAGTGTTCATTTTTTCCTTCTTTTAAAAAAAGTTTATAAGTATCAATTTCCTGAACAACTCTTCTAAACCTGTTTCAGAATTTTTAAGTGCTTGCATTGGAACAGAGTCTAGCTATGAAAGCCTTAGAAAAGTTGCATTTTTTAGAATATTTTAGAACATTTTAAGATAATTCTCAGTTTTCTATTTATTTTTACATTTGGGTTTGAATGTCATGTATGTGTGTGGTTCTATATCTATCTGTGTATATTTGTGTTTTAAGGAGTTTTAAAATAAAATGTTTCATAGATTTTTTAAATCTGAACAAAAGCTAAGAAAGCACTGAGTTTAATATTTCTATTTGATAGACCATAAAATATTATGGAATTGGAATAATAAATTTATTAAGTGAAGGAACTGAGTTTCAAATGTAAGATTCCTCAGCTAACTATAGCCTATACCTCAGCCTGCTGGCTCCTAGGCTAGTATCCTTTCCATTTTACTATGCTGCCTTTCCAGTTTCATCTTGAAAGGACTCACTGCCTTGAATGATAGATAAGAGGCAGTTGGGGTATTTCTTGAGGAATAAAAGGGCATGAGCTAAGACAGTAAGAAAACATAGGCTATCTATAGGCATATATTAGAAATTCTTTACAAAAAAGGTCACATATGTATTTAAAATGACATCTTGTTTCAAAAGCATCATTTTTACAAAGGAAAGAAAGCTTAGAGTTACATTCAAAATATTAATAATTGATTGCTAATTTTTCCTAGTTGAACTGTAACATCAATCAAAGAGTTCATGATTAATAAAAGTAGTATTTCTATGGTTAAGCAGGGTTAGAGAGAAACCATTCATTCAATTTTTACTTTAAAGTATGTGGTTGAAATGCTTTAAACAAATATCTTTGGTGACAGGAGATATCAATACATTTGAAAAAATTCACCTCATCTCCACCTGTTACAAGGGGAAGTATACATTTATATTTTTCTTTATGTGCAGTTGTCATGATGACATAATTATCTTCTTTATACAAAACTCCAGTTGTGGGCTAGAAATAGAAGAAAAAAATAGATATAAATTTGGTTAAATTTTACTATACTGAATAACTTACAGTTCTAGCTAAAACAAAGTTTCTTCAAACTAATTTATCATTTCAACAGAGGAGTTTAAAAACATATTTTCTTTTTTTTCAAATTTTTATTTTGATTTGGGTGAAGATTTACAGAGTAAATTCACTTTTCATACAGCAGTTCACATATACTTTGTCTCACGTCATTGACCAAAATTTACAATGCAACAGCTCCCCTCCCACTTCCTCCCCATAGTTACCTCCTCCCAGTGTCCATCCCTTCATACTCTTCTGCACCCTGAGCTATCTCCCTGTGCATAAGCAGCCCTTCATTCTCCCATGATTGTTCTCTCTAGGGCGTGTGTCTACTTGAGGTAAATGAAAAAACATATTTTCAAAGGCAAAGAATAGATTTTACATAGTTTTAAGGACAAAATGAAGAAGCTTTGGTGATGTAGTACCTAAGGCATTTGACTGCTAACCAGAATGTCAGTGGGTCAAACCCACCAGCCACTCCTCGGAAGGAAGGCTGGGCAATCTACTTCCATAGAGATACTGCCTTGGAAACTCAAAGAGGGGTTGCTATGAGTCGGAAGTGACTCAATGGCAGTGAGTTTGGTTTTTTTGGTTTTGTATAATATGAAGTAAAAAAAAAAGAACAGAAAGTTTGGAGCATAAAAAACAAGTAGTAATAAAATAACAGGCTGAAGATGAAATAGCAGTAAAAAGCACTGAGGAAATGAATGTCCACATATGCAACCACTAAATACTTATTATACCTTAGTAATACTAAGTATTACACTTAATAATAATACTTATTACTAACAATTACCATCTGTATGTGAGAATCCATAAGGAGCTCTGGTAGCATAGTGCCTAAGGCACTTGACTACTAACCAGAAGCCTGGCGGTTCAAACCCACCAGCCACTCCTTGGAAGGAAGATGGGGCAATCTACTTCCATACTGATTTTTTGTTGTTATGTGTATCTATAGTGATACTGCCTCGGAAACCCAAGGAGAGGTCGCTATGAGTCGGGGCCGACTCGACAGCACATAACAACAACAACATGTGAGAATCCATAGCACTTTACAAATGTACTCTTTTCTTGGATGGGGTACTTGACCATAATATAATGTAGTATATTTCATATTTGAATAATAATTAAAAAAAACCCTTAAGTCACTGCCTTTGAGTCAGATCCGACTTACAGCATCCCCTCCTTGAGTTTCCTAGAAAATATTACTATGCAAGTAGATTGCCCAATTTTCCTTCTGAGGAGTGGCTGGTGGGTTTGAACCGCCCAGCCTTCTGGTTAGCAGTAAAATGCCTTAGGCACATATTTGAGTAACAAGGATAAATTCCTTTTAAAAAAGTTACTATGGATCCTCTAGGCTAACTCAATATTTAAAACTATATTATTAGTTAAGTATATATCAAGGGCCTGCAAACTTTCTGTCAAGGACTAAACCAAAACCAATCCCACTGCCACCGAGTTGTTTCTAACTCAAACTGACCCTATAAAGAGAGTAAAACTGACCTATTGGGTTTCTAAGGTTGTAATCTTTACAGAAGCAGACTGCCTCATTTTTCTCCCATGGAGCAGCAGGTAGGTTTGAACCACCAATCTTTTTGATAGCAGGCAAATGCTTTAACCACTTTGCCACCTGAGCTCCTCTGTAAAGGACCAGATAGTAAATATTTTAAGCTCTGTGGCCATATGGTCTCTGCTGCAACTACTCAACTCTGCCATTGTAGCTGGAAAATGAACAAACAACATATAAACAGATGGGTGTGGTTGTGTTCCATAAAACTATTACAAAAACAGGTGGTAGGCCAGCTTACCACTATAGTTTGCTGACCTCTGGTACATAGCAATAAAACTTCCTTTAAAGTTTTCTACACCATGAAACCAAACAAATTCACAAATCAAATATGAACCAATATAATTCAAAGGAACATTTCAATTAATATAGCTTATAATATTTTACTAAAAATAAACCACTGCTTGTGTAGCCAATGCAACACTAACTACTAAGGCAGAAGCTTTCACACGATTGTGAGTCCTATGATAATTTATTCCTCTCATCACTTTTCTCTTATGTTGTTGTTGTTGTGTGCTACTGAGTCAATTCTGACTTATAGCGACCCTATACAACAGACTAGAACTGCCCCCTAGAGCTTACTAGGCTGTAATATTTATGGGAGCAGATCACCAAGATTTTCTCCATAGAGCCACTGATGGGCTTTAACTGTCAAGAGCTTAGCCATTAGCATTGCAGTATTTAGCTGCAGGGATGGAGGAGAGGAGAGGGAACTCAGGCATGCCCAAAGCAGCAGGGTGGGAGAGCAGGAGAAAGGGGATTAAAAGGAACTCAGGCACACCAAAGCAGCAGGGTGGGAGAGTGGGACAAAGGGGATTAAAAGCCAGGGACCCAGACAGAGGAGCAGTCAGCTGCAGGGATCCAGGAGAGGAGAGGGAACTCAGGCAAGCCCTAAGCAGCAGGGCGGGAGAGTGGGAGAAAGGGGATAAAAAGCCAGGAATCCAGACAGAGGAGGAGTCAGCCACAGGGACCCAGGTAAGGGTGGTATGAG